GATAGGAACCTTCTTTCACGTCTACGGACAGTTTTTCACAGCTTTGGTATCTATCACTGCACGCTTAATTGTTGTTTTGCTTAGATAGAAAGGCACAACTACTTTTCAAGATGGTGCAGGGAACCGTGATGGGGACTATTACGGACTAACATCATAACATACTTGTGGAGATGAGCTGTTAAAATACGCTTCTAAATGTATTTTGCTGTTGATTTTATTTTGTTATAATTGTTATTCGTCTCACTATACACTCACAAGTACATTTTACAATATCGTAAGGGTAAGGAGATGGAAACAGGGCAAGCCCCAATAGTCTCTTTCTCGGTTCCCTTCGCCATCTTGTAAGGTAGCTGTGCCTTTACATTGAAGCAAGGCAGCCGTATGAGAGAAGGTTATAGCACACTTAATGGTCGTCTACCTTTCAAGATGGCGAAGGGAACCATGAATATTGACACCCATTATTTGATTTCTTGACGTGTTTTATCCCTGATCAAGATAACTTTGTTTTCTGTAATTTCTAGGTTATTGTTACCTTGCCATTGGCTGTTTTAAAGTCTGAGATGGTTGAATTCACCCCTAAACTTCCCATAGAGAAAACAAATGCAATAGCCAACCTTGGAGCAGGTCTCATAGAAAAGGTCAGTCAATACTGCTGTTTGCATACACTTATTTCAAAAAACGTTGTCAAGGACAACGGTGAACGGCGATTGTCTGAAGGCGATTGCATGACCATAGGACTATGTTTGCCCTTTGAAGCTGGACATGAAGCCACGTTGTATGGCAAAAATAGGTTTCCACAGCCGGAATTATAAGATCTATTCAGCACGTAACGAAGTATCAATTTCTTGAAATTAATCAGTTCTATTTTATTTGATGATATTTTCAGGTTGCTTTAAAATTTTCACGGAATTTCTGGAGTAAGAAAACTGGTGGTTCAGATTTCTTTGGGCGTGTTCCGTCATCTATTAGTAACAGAGGAAGTTGTGGGATTTTTTATGACTTAAGTAGAAAAGTAAGCACTCAACACTGACATTTTAGTATTTCATTTCTTTTATCTATCTCCCCATTCTTGCACATCTCCTGTACCTCAAATGGAGAGGAATAATAAACTTATTTTCAAAAGAAGGATGAAAAACATTCATTCAAAAAGCCTTCAAAAAACCTTTTTTGAGGGAGAGAAAGAGGGAACAAAAGAGGGAAAATCCGATTTCATTCCATTCTGATTTGTAGCCATTAAACCTACGCTAACACGGAAGCAAAATCGTCAAGGAATGTTGCGCGTACTGTTACCGGCGAATCATCTTGTCTCGCAGCAAAATAATTTGTTGCAGGTTGAAAAAGCGTGTTGCAGAAAGTAGAAGATCGTCTACTTTTTTCAACAAAATCTGTCAATGCTGCGTGTAAAAAATGGCGTCGCGCGAGAATCAGCTGACGGCATATGCCAATTAGAAATAAGCATTCGCTCAACTTTTGATGCGATACGATTTCCTCCGCCAGTAGTAAAACGCGCAGCATCATCCCTTTCAAACTTGTTTTGCAGAGATTTTGCTGCAAAACAAGTTGGACGATTTTGGTGCTCGTACGACCGTAGATGTTTTGCAGTCACATATTCTCCACTGTTAACCAAAAACAAAACAATTTTTTTTTCTCTTTTGTCCAGATTCCCAGCCAAAGTTGCCCTTGCTACACAGGCTGCCCATCACTGTACTCCATGATTTTATTTCCTTCTTTCCATCGTTCCATTCTCATTCCTTTCATACTTTCCATCTCACCTATGTTTGTTTATTTCATTTTCTCATTTTCATTTTCAGTCGACCCCTAAGAAGAGTCATGTTCTTATGACAGTACTAACAGGAGAGCTGGCACTCCAAGCATCAAGTATGAATGATGGACAAATAGTTCAGCATGTGTTAGATTTACTAAAAGGACTGTTTCCTGGTGAGGTTAGTAGTATATTCACGTACTAATAATACACGCGAGTATTACATTAAGATATGGAATTCTTGAAAATGACGCCTCTTCTTGATTCCTTTGTCTGTGACTACTGAGGCAAAATTCGCAAGTCGACTATTCATTTCGTTTGCGATGGGGTAGTAATTAACTTTTTTGATTTTTTTTTTTTTTTTTTGGGAGGGGGATAATTTCTCAATCCCATCCCCCTCCCCCCTCCTGATAAATATTACGTTCATAGGAAGACTCCCTTATCTCCCTTGCTGGGGCCAATTTTACGAAGATGGGAATGTTATTCAGTCCTTAGATTTAGTATGGATTTTATTTGGTCGATAAGGGTTTATCCGGTTGATAGTGCTATTCACCCTTCGTACAACATGACCTGGTGTCAATTTCCGCAGAGCGAATTCAAGCCCGGTGCAGCAGTTACTAGAATTGATTTTGCTCTTTGTGACGATACCGGAAACTGATCGACATCGGAAATGGATCTATTCACTGTCATTTTTATTTATTAGACAATCCCAAAGCCAGATAAATACATAGTAAGTCATTGGGGGCAGGATCCCTATTCTGGTATGGCCTATTCATTTGTTCCTCTTGGTTCCACTGGACAAGATTATGATGAGATTGCTAAATCCCTAGAAGACAAGTTATTCTTTGCAGGAGAGGTAGGAATTCTGCCGCTTTCTCATTGTTGAATTAGGAAACAAGTTGCGTGCTTGAGGAGCCTGTTAGTTTGCTTCAAAGCGAGGGAAAATCGGTCAAACACCCCAAAACGTTATTGTTGAGCTTGTTTATCCTTTTACAATGTCAGGAAAATAATTTTTGTTGGTAAATAAAGTCATAGTTTTGATATAAGTTGGTACTCTTGTTCATTTGAGGGCTGTAGTAATTTTGAAAATATGAAATTGGTTTGGAAGTGGAAAGGGTTAGGGGTAGGGGGCGTGCTTCCCCTATAGCCGCGGTACTGGTTTGTATACTCGCCGGTCCTTTTGCCTTGATTGCATTTCAAGATGGCGTTGGAAACTAACTGTGTATTGTTTGGTGGACCACTATCGTCAGAAAAGACCTTATGATTGATATCGAGACAGCAAAAACAAAGAATTGGTGTACTATGTCAGACAATGCCTATTGTTTTTGTATTGTCTCTCTTTGTTATTTCATCAAATAGAAATCTTTGTTCTAACAGTAGTGTACACCATTGTTTTGTCTCAAGTAACAAGATTGTTTCTTCCTACAGGCTACAAATCGACAATTTCCACAGACTGTAACTGGAGCATATATCAGTGGGATTAGAGAAGCAGAAAAAATACTCATGAGAAAGTTTGAAGAAGAAGAAGGTTTTCTATAGTATTTTTTTATGAAATCCGTCGGTGGCTTATTCTCATCTGCAGCCAGAACTTAACCGCCGCGTACCTTCCTTCTCGGGCTCTATTTTGATTTCCCATTCTAGAGGCCCGTTTACACGATTTTTGCAGCGCGATAATCGCAAATTTGCTATCGCGCAACTAAAACCTCTACGATTGTTGCGGCGATGGAAAATCGACGCCAAGTTGCTGCCAATTTGCAAGCATGTTCGTAACTCAGGCAATGTTCGCGAGACGATCGCCGCGAGAATCTCTCTGCAAAAATCGCAAGTGTAAACGGACCTCAGGGAATACAACTATGGAGAAATTCGTCAAGGACGCGGCTTTTTTTCCTTAGATGGCATAGTTCTTAATCTTGAATTTCCTTGCGACGTAATAATTTCCGTTAAGATAATCAAATAGTATAAAGGGTCATTTCTGCTTCAAGATATGAATGTAAGGACCGCATGGCACTATGAGATACATGATATAGAGATAAAGGAATATTACAGTGCTGGGAAGGAGGTTATTCCAGGAGAAAGACCCTTGGAAATAAATCCGGAAAAATTAATTTCTGACCTCGCTGGGATTCGAACCCAGGGTCCGAGGGTTGTGGATTCGAATCCAAGCGAGGTCGGAAATTTGTTTTTCTGATTTTATTTTTAAGGCTCTTTCGCCCGGAATAACCTCCTTCCTAGCACTAGAACTTTCCTTTATTCTATAGCATTTCTGTGTCTACCACTACTTGATACTATAGTCGAAATTAGTTCGGCTACGAATTCTCAGGTTATTATTATGTCGAATCTCGCTGATATTTCAAATATTTATATGAATATGTATCATTTTTTAGAGATATCATAATTTTTGATCGTACCTTCAAGATTTGTTACATTGTATAATTTTCTCGGAAACTCGTCTCGTAACGTCGTTATAGGACAAAAATTACAGAAGAATTACACAATGTGCAAGGGGTTGTCTCACAACTTTGGTTTTGTTGCGTGTAGCGTAACTCGTGTATACTTTTCTTTATGCATTGCCTCGACTTGCAACGCCATTGCGCAGTGTATCTCAAGGCACTGTCACACATGCCGTGAGAGCATGTGCAATTCTTATTTCTAATGTCCGCCATCTTGAATTTGATTTCCCAGCTTTCCTCGGCTAAAGAGATAGTGGAGGTTGGTGGGCAAACAGGGCTGTTATTTTCTCGGCAACTTATATCACAACGGCGCTGCAAGACAAGCTGCTTTGAAAACTGCCCAGTGTAACAGCACCATAGTATCGTGTGTTATCAGTAATCGTGTTATACTTAAGGAATATAAAACGACGCGTGTGTCTCTGTTCTCAGATATATACCCAGACACGATGGGAGTTGAAAAACACGAGAGAAGCTTCGAGTGCCACCGTGTTTATATCAGAGGACAGAGACACAAGCGGTCGTTTTATAGTTCTTTTATACAATTTTTAATTCTCCGTTTTTTGAGCGATAAAACAAATTTTGTCACTTTCCTCTGATATAAACACGGTCGTCAGTCAATCAGAGCGCACGTTATATATCAAAAATTTTACAAAATGATTTTTGAGACGTCAAGATGTTTGAGATTGGAATGATATTGATTTTTAAGAGTAGACGATTTCTTTGAGAAACCATCCCTTTCAAAACTGACATCACAAGTATTTTCGATCACTGTTCCACAACTCGCTTATATATTTTCTCGAAAATACCTCATTTCCATGTTTGCGCCAGCGATATGTTTTGAAAGCGCGCCCGCGAATATCACAAATCGTCTTTGGTATAAATATTATATTGATCCTAGTTTTGTGAACACGCATTATGAATATACAAGCAAAAAAGTTTAATTCTTGTTTTGCTATTTTCAAAACAAATTGAATATATTGTTGAAAGTTACTGTTGCTTGCTCGAAAAAAAAAACAATGAAAAAAAAAACCGAAAATAAATCAAAAGAAAACCTTAATTTGCTCAGTGTTGATGTAAATATGATAATTCTTATTGAAATACGAAATNCGGAAAACTGTTTTTTATTGCTTTTATAAAATAATAAGCGCTCAAATATTCATGAGAAAAAAAGCCGAGAAAAAAAATGACGCGAGAGTGTATTATGCTCTCATCAAACACGGTTTTTTGGCCAATCAGAGCGCGCGTAATATGAAAGTTATTTTATAAAAGGCTTTGCTTCTGGTTTATTCTTCAATAATTTCTCTAAATATTTGTTACTGTCTTTTAGGACATATTAAATAAACTAGAAACAACAACAACAAAAAAACCCTCATTACTTCATTAATCCAATCTTTCCTTCGTTCCTCATTCCCGATTGTATTGTTGTGACCACTAAAAGCGCACCTAACGCTGTTGCTAAGTTACATATTACAATATGGCGGCCTGTTCCTTACATTACATCATCAGCCATATTCATCCGCACTGCGTAATTCTAAATCTCACGAGACTTGGTATTTACAAATCAAATTATACAATGACAACAGAGCTATAAATATGTGGTGTCTTGTATAAAAGTCGGTATCTGTAGGTACGCTGTTCAGCATCTACACAGCCGATTTAGATCGAATTTTGGCCTGCGCTCGCCGTAGCTGTTTTAAGCTGATGTTCATTACGGTTATCATGTCAGAAACAGCAGATAACGCTGTGACACAGATGACAAGAGCTGTTGTTAAAATCGTCAGCTCTTCCAACTTTAACAAGGATGACTTYCTAGCTGAAAAGCTGAAGCTTTCCCAAGCTTTTTGCTTGTTGTGGCAAGACCCGAAGAGCGGYGATGTTTCAGGAAGAAAGCTTAGTTGTGAGTGCAATGCAGCTGCCGCCGCCGCGGCCTTGRTCGACTTGGTCGCCTTGGGCAGAGTAGAAGTCGAAGTAAAGCCAAACAGAACGCTTGGATTTAGAAATGACCTTAATCTKTTGAAGGTAAGAAACTCTCACGAATTGACTTTGCGTCGCAGAAAATCCGCGGCTTTTCACCTCGGCATGAAAATAGAGGCTCTTAGAGCGCTTACTCGGACCCCCTTGATGGAAGAGTTTACGTCAGTATCTTGCTAACACTATATATTTTAATGTTGTCCAAAATACAAGGCCACCCAATTTTGACATATTTTTTCTTTACATTGAACATTAGGTCATAAATGAACAGCCAACTGGTACGTTTCTTGACGACACAGTATTTGACAAAAGGCTCAAAATTTTCAACAAAGCAGCACCAAATRAATRCAAACCTGAAAAAGTCAAAGATATARTATTTGGAGATTTATGGCGATGGACYTCCACAAATCAAGTTTCAACTCTTGCTCTAAAAAGTTTGGTTGACCTTGGTGTCCTGAGCATGAAGGAAACATGTTGGGGTCGTCGATATCCAATTGAAAAACCAGGTACCTATTTTTATCACGTTTTTTTTTTTTTACAATTAGACCATGAAGTTGACTGGACTACAATTTGATTGTTCATAAGGTCATACTCATAGGAGTCATGAGACCAATGGACTGATTCCACCAGTCTTTCAGGTCGCTATTTTTTTAAGACAGGGATCCCAGATGAACAGATTTTGACTCCAAATGACTTCTTGAAGTCATAGAATGAATCTATTATTGACCACCAATAGAGACGAATGGAGTTAGACAATATACCATTCGAGTCTATTGGTCTATATTGGCCATGAATGATTTGTCCAATATATACGACTTGTTACGATTCGTGATATGTATTATGGAATGCTCTAGTACAAGGGATAGGTTACTTAAGGAATAAAAAACAGTTTTCCGTGTATTATACTCTGATAAAAACACGCGGGATGTGGGGAGAACACAAGAGAAACGTAGGAAACCTTGACGCGAAGCGGAGTGGTTTCCAGCTTCTCGAGTGTTCTCTCCACATCCCAAGTGTTTTTATCAGAGTATAATACACGGAAAACTGTTTTTTATTGCTTTTTTAAAATAACAAGCGCTCAAATATTCGTGAGAAAAAAAAGCCGAGAAAACAAATGACGCGTGTATTATGCTCTCATCAAACACAGCTTTTTGGCCAATCAGAGCGCGCGTAATATGAAAGTTATTTTATAACTTAACTTATTTTCTCTTGGAGGGGTTTCCATTCATTCAGCAGCTCCTCAAAGACATTTCGAAAATCTCCGGATACGTATGGAGACTGAATCTGTGTTCGGCGTAAAATACAATTTGCGGATGAAAGCAATTCAATTCCGGAGACGTGTGGAAAAGGCGTAATCACTGCCACCACCACTCACTGCGACGCTCTGAAAACAGTTATAAACGTGAAAGGATGTCGCTTAAAACGATCGCTTTCAGTTTGTTGATAATTATTCCATATACTTTCTCAAAACTAAAGTTAAAAATTGTACGTACAATTTTGAGACTCATATGATATGATATCATATATCCATCATCTGATAATTTTTTGCACATAGTTTGAAAGACTTGAAAGAGCTACCTATAACATTGTGTGCGCAAGGACTACAATTCTTGACATTATAAATAGTTTATCACTGAAGCTCTCTCATTTTTGCTTTTGTTTTAACTTATATTGTCCTTWACGCAATAAGTCGAGCTGCTATAAATTTCAGCAACGTAGGAGTTTGAAATAAATGAAGCAAGTATTGAAGCTGAAATGTCTCGATTTAGTGCGTAAAGGACAATGTAAGTAAAATCAGAACAACAATCAGGATTATTTCTAAGTCATTTGAGCTCAGCGAAACAAATTTAATTTCTAGGACAATGAAACGGCTCTCGATTCTGGTTGGAGATTCTAACTCTTACTTACACCAAACACATAGCATCCGTAACTCGATACTTTGGAGTTCATTAGGRATTGACTGGGGAGCGACAGAATTTCATCAAACAACGTTTACTCTAACGCCACCCACCTGTTGATAAGAACAATATGTTTTTATTGAGATAGACTTCAGCAAGTATTATTATGCTGGTATCAAGCAATTGTGTAAAATTCCTTTTGATCGGTTTAAATTCAGTGAATCGTTGCACGAAATATTTTTTTTTGAACAACTTGCAATTTTTTATTCACTTTCTAATAATAATAATGTTTTATTTCTCTGGTTTCGTTATAAATTTACATACAACATATTTAAAGTGAAAAAAAAAAATTAAAGCCATTTACAGAAAATCTGGCCGCTAACATATGGGTTACGCATCACTGGGTGATATACCTTGATTTTCGCTTTTCCTCCTTAAAACAGATACTCTGCGAACAGTAGCTCTGTTCGCAGAGTATAAAASARATCATTAATCATCTGAAAACTTTGACATCATGTTTATCAAAATTTATTCAAACATAATAAGCAGTTTTATGGCAAATCAGAAATTCTTCATAATTACTGTGCATAAAATAATAACAAATAAGCTAATGGACGCTTTTAGTTCCGTTCAACTGTAGGTGAGTGCGATCTAAAAACAGATATGACAATACACTTTAGTACCTGCTAATTCCATTGTTTTCTTTTGCCTCTAGGTATTAATATACTTGCAGACGAATAAATTTGGTTTTGCAGGTGTTATCTCACTCACACAAACTATTTGTTTTCTTTGCGAGTCGGTAATAACTAGGAAAAAAAATGATCTAGATCCGCTTTTGGTACGTCTTAATTCGCCATGAATCGTTCAGTGCTAAGCATGATATATTTKTTAGGCAGCTTGTAGGCAAGAAATCTTGAAATCTTTCAAATGTTATGAAATCGTAGGTCAGGGATGGAGAGTCAGTCCACTGAACAATTTATATCAGTATGAAACTTACAAAATAAAAATATTGTAAAATAAAGATGGTAGCTTTCTTTCAATTTGTTAAGAAATTACCAAAGCGAACACTTTCTGYCGGCTATGAAAAGTCAACTGGCCTACAAATTGTCGTGGTAGGGAAATATTTCAGCATAAGTAGTCCATATAGCACTATATATATACAATGTCTCCACTCCGATATAAAATTCAAGCTGAAAACGTCATCATTGCCTCGTTGCCATAGCAAATTGTAGCACAGCTGCCGTGATTAATTATGTACTAGTATTATGTTTGCTGGCGCTTTAAGGGACGGACCATGTGATTTTCACAGGTGGGGGAAGGGTAGATTTTAATCGTGCTCGAAATTTGTTTTTCGGCCTCATTTGGTTAGTACTACCCATGCTCGCTATTTTTTTTCTCGCCATATTGGTTGCGCACGACATTTTCTTTTAGGTTGGAGAGCTTGCTCGATATTTTTCGGGGGATTGCAACCGCTACAACCCCCCCCCCCCCCCCCCCCCCCCCCACAAAAATCAAATGGACCGTCCCTAAGCTATACACATCAAGCTGTAAATAGTACACGCCGAAAACCTGGCTAGAATGTGATCGCTCAAGTCGTGGTTTGATTTCAGAAATTTTCATTCCTCTTCAGTCTTAGTGAGAAGTTTTGTGYTTAGCTTACACTTAACATTATACGTTGCCCATAGTAATTAACAARTCAGTAATAATAGTTCTCGGAATTRCGTACATAGCGAAGTGTTTTTTTAGAACTACAATGGCTGCTTCTTCGAGTTTCACTGATGACTTGGAAGCACAGTTAAMTTGTGCTATWTGTAATGAMATCTTTACTGACCCAAGAACACTRCCGTGTYTACATACTTTCTGCTTCAACTGCATCAAAAGTTGGAACRAGAMTTGCCAGAGAGACAGGAAGCAACTGAAATGCCCAACKTGTAGAGCGGCCGTGAAAGTCGAGGGYGGTGACGTSTCGATGCTCCCTTCCTCGTTCACTTTCACCTCGTTGATTSAGTTATTTGACTCAATGAAATTGAAAGYTGYCGAGAAAACTCAYCAACARCAGCTTACAGAGTGTGCGAATTGCTCAAATCGCAGTGTRTTGGTTGGATTTTGTCCTCAATGCGAAGGAAWGATTTGTAAYGAYTGCATCARCCATCACAAGACATTGAAAACATTGAAAAGAACMCAYCAAGCAACGCTTTTGAGTGATTTCAAACAAGAAAATCTCAACAGYTACATCAACAATCAARCGYTTTGYAAAGAGAAATTCCACGACGGAGCACGTCTCGAATATTTCTGTAAAACKTGCAAGAAGTGCATTTGCCAGAAATGYGGCACAACAACRCACAGCATTCATGASAAGATCAGCATCGAGGAAGCTGCWGAGGAAGCTAAAAYWCTYATYAGAAAAGAAAAAGAGCGATTRAATGACMTKCTTGTGAAATACAACAAAGAATTAGAACTGTCTGATGAAAATATGAGAAGAATTCAACACGAAGCAGACAYKGCAAAGGCAAAAGTACRTAATGAAACACAAGCCCTGATCAAGATTTTACAAGATCACGAAGACGMTTCGATWGCTACYATAGACAARATYCTWTTGGAACAAGCAGCAGCAAATGTAGACGAGAAAGACGAKGTCAATTSCARCATCCRGCAAATTTCTCAATTGAAACATCAGTGTGAAACAATGGCCGATGAATTGAACTTGGAACACTTTATATTGGAAGGCTATGAAAATTTACAAGAAATTTGTAAAACTACAGTAAAAAACAAATCSATCTTATCAACCAAACCAGTCAAGCGCAACACAAGCCTGCATTACATTCCCAACCCGGAAATCAACACTGAAATGCAAAAGTTCAAGTTCGGTGAGGTGGTGGAAAGCGTGACAGACCCGTCACGTTGTTCTATCGAGTCTGTAAGTAACGTCAGATGTAGTTTTATCAACGAATTTAAAATCGTGACAAGAAATTCAGAAGGAAATGTGTGCGATACCAATAAAGGTGTAATTGATGTACAAATCAAAGACGTTGACGGCGACGATGTACAGAAAGAACTGACCGAGACTGAAACTGGCAGATTCTTAGTTAAATATAGAGCAGAGAAACCTTCACCGTACAAAGTTGTAGTGAGTATTGGAGGAGTAGAGATCAGCAACTCACAACAGAACATTGAGACAATTGATGCTAAAGCAGAGTTAAAACCCTTGAGATTATTAATTGATTTGAAAGAGATGTCCGCACCAAATGCATTTTCTGTAAGTGATACTGGAGAAATAGCTATGATCAATAATGATGGTAAAGGGGATTTCAGCGTAGTGTTGTTCAATGCCGATGGAGAGTATGTTCGAGAGATTGGTGGTGCAGGATCTGGAGACGGTCAACTGAGTTTTCCATGTGGAGTGATCTTCAATGAAGGCCAAATACTTGTCAGCGACAATGATCAAGGTAATAAGCCCTGTGGCTGTATAAAGGAATTTGATATCAATGGTACTTACAACAGAACTCTTTGTAAACAACCTGAAAGAATTGCGATCACACGAATGTGCAAAGTGAATCCAAACATCGCGTATTTGAGCTTTAATGACGATACTAATGACACATTTATAAAGTCGTTTGCTCAACACAATGGTGATCATCTTCCTGACATCAAACTAGATGTCCCTAATGATGGTCATGGGCACCCTGTGTATTTAGCCTATAATAACAATAAGTACTTTGTAACGTTTTTTAAAACAAACAGTGTTTATGTTTTTAACGAGGATGGTCGTCTGTTGTACAAGTTTGGAGAGAAAGGTAACAAAGATGGCCAGTTTGATGTCGTAGCTGGACTTGCCGTGTTTGGTAAAGAAATGCTTCTTGTCTGTGATCGTGATAACCACTGCGTGCAAGTCTTCAGTCAAGACGGTCAGTTCATAAGGTCCTTTGGTAGGTGTGGTTCAGGTCTTGGTGAAATGGATGGTCCTGTTAATGTTGCTGTAACACCAGATGGTCGAGTAATTGTGCTTGAGTGTGATGGAAAACGAGTTCAAGTTTGGAGATAATTTCTCGAAATAATAAACAGTTGACTTTGAATCCTTAGATTGACGTCATGTAAAAACCCGCGTTTAAGAACACGCATTTTTGAAGTTCATCTTGATTTAATCTTCTCCGATGTTAGGCAAAGGTCTAGAGTTTAGGCCTTCTGGGAATACACAGACTTGGCCGACTCAAATCAAAGAGAATGCAAATTTGTAGGTCTATTGTTATGAAGACATTTTTTCATGCTTTCGTTTATTTTTAGAAATATCTCTGCGATGACAGACTGTTGTCAACTAAAAACAGCGGTTGCCCGCTTTGAATGGGAAAAACGCTTAACTGCACGGAGCCAGTACTTACCCGCTTAAAAGAACCTGCAATTTTAGAACATGTTAGCCTAAAAATATCAATTTAGACCCCATTTACATAAGAACCTATTTAGCCTAAAATTTGAAACAGGTTTTTATAGAAATT